TTCCTGTTAATGAGGTCCAACATCACAAACACATCGGTTTGTCCTTTCTCATGATTGCACTTGGACGAAACATATCAATTATATTATAAAGAAAGCCACTAGTAAACTAGCCAACCTTAGGAAGGTTACATTCAAAATTGACAGAAATACCCTCCAAACCTTTGTTTTTCTTTCGTCAGACCCATTCTTGAATATGGTGATATTGTGTGGGATAATCTTACTGCCTTACAGTCTCAGTCACTGGAGAATATTCAGCTCGAAGCAGCTAGGATCGTAACAGGGCGAACCAAATTAACTAGACATGTCAAACGTTATTAGGAGACTGGCTGGGTCACTTTACAATTCCGTCGTAACGTAAAGAAAATTGTACAGATACATAAAATGATTTTTTTGGCCTCACTCCTGAATACCTCTCTAATCTTCTCCCACATGGCAGGCATAATACTCACCAATACAATACGCTTGATGCTGATACATTAATCGGCATATTTTGCAAACGTCTATAAACGACCCTTTCTTTCTTCTTCTATTGACCTCTGGAACTCGTTACTCCGCGAAATTAAAAATAATCACTCTATAAGTAACCTAAAGCGCTACCTGTACTGACACTCCCCTACAGTCCCTCCTTATTATAGTTATGGAAAACGCACCAATTAGGTTCATCACGCCAGACTACGAATGAACTGTAGTTCCTTAAACGATCATCTATTTCGACGTAATCTGGTTGAAGATCCCGGTTGTTTGTGTAGACAAGGACACGAAACAACCGAGCACTTTCTTATGCTCTGTCCTACTTATACCGATGTAAGGAATGAATGCTTTGCAAATCTTCCTGTAAATTATACTCTTGACCAACTACTATACGTAGATCAAAACTTAACCATTGAAGAGAACCAAAGAATTTGTAGCATTGTGCAGCAGTACATTAATAAAACTAAACGCTTTGGAAATTAACGATACTATCATTTAGACTCAAATGGCTGCAGAATAAATTACTTATTATTCATTGTCCTCGTCTGTAATTTGATTGCTTTCATCATATATACATGTAACTGTATTACGGTTGGGTACATCATGGGTACAAAGTTTGAACACTCCCCTTCCCCCATCCCCACCCCCCCCCCCCTCTCTCTCTCTCTATCTCTCTCTCTCTCTCTCTCTCTCTCTCTCTCTCTCTCTCTCTCTCTCTCTCTCTCTCTCTCTCGTTCATTACATCAAAAATGTTATCAATGCTTAGCTACAAGTATTATGTTGTCACCTGCTTGTCACTCTATATTAGGAGACAGATTTACAGAAGAATTGTTATACTTTTTTCTGAATCCTATTTATATTTGTAATAATGATGCACAATTATGACACGTATGAAATAAATAAAATATGTTTAAACTAACTAAGTAGGCCATTGAACCATTGTTGATGTCCTTGTCAGATAACTGAATATTGGTAGCTTGCATGTCCTGAAATAAGATGAATTATTCATGACAAATGTCATACGCGGTTCGCTGTAAGACTTTCATACAAATAATTTATTACTGATGTAAAATCAATTTCATTGTTCACAAGAACATAACGACATGGATGGTGTAGTAACGGATGCGTACTGACAGTTCGTTACCAAGTTCTACCTTGGACCCAATGTTTAACAAATAAAAATGCCCACAATATATACAAAATACCGGCCTGTCTAACTGACTCAAATAACAATGATATAAGCTGTATACAATCCCAACTATACTCTAAACTACACCCGGTAGATAATTAACATTAATTGCACCTAAACGCTGATATCTATATAGAGTCTCAACACTCAACTAAAACACTGTGTCACATATATAGCCGTCACCTGTGTCGGCAGTAAATAATCAACCTTTTACTACAACACCCATGACTGCACAACTGGACCGAGACCACAATTAATTTCACTATATGTTTCATTGTAACATTAAAATTCATAACTAAGTCCCAAAGTTTCATCTACAAATTTCCATTTCACCTGGCCAAGATCAACATCTGAGAAGCAAAATGTAAAAGTTTCAACCCATCATGTTGGGCATTTTCTGGAGATATACCTCCATGTGTGTCACCAACGTCAATTATATACATCCGGGTCAGGGGTAAAGGTGAAAACAGGACATTTTACACCGTATCCTGCAGCACAAAATACATGTTCAATATGAATGATTTACACACAGACAGTTAGATCTCTATAACACATCTACATCAAATTTACAGGCAAACATTCAATTCAAAGAGGCATATTATTTTTTTTCCCTAATATACATACATTTTTTAGGGACTTCATTTGTGGGACCTGTACCCGGAAGTATTTAATTGTGGTCTCAGTCCAACTTGACCGCGGCACACTTTGACCACGTCAGCCTTTACCGCGACACACGTGCATTGACCACGTCACCTTTTGCCGCAACAATTTTGACCAAGTCACCTACACTGTATACACTGTGCTTCGGTACCCTGTCACTGTATCTGATAAATTACACATTACCCTGTACTGTGATCTCCCGTAACTTTGTACATTTGTATAAGATGTGTAAGAGTTATTGGTTCTGATTTTAAAGGATTACAGTGGAGCCCTAGCTTATTCAGCTAGGCCCAGACTTTTTCAGCCTGGTCACTGTTACCTTTTATTTTCAGCTAGAGATCCTTCACGTTCGCCTCTCCGTATCAGAAAGAAAAACTTTTCGTCTGATGGACCCTCTCTTTATACGACTCCAATCCAATGAAACGTTTTCTTTCAAACAACTAATCAATAGTGCTTTACTTTTACAAATTACAGAAATAACTACTACAAGTCTACACTACTAATCCTTTGTTGTGTATTAAATCACAAGGAATCAGTCGTTTCACTATTTTTTCTTGGCATGTATTGTATATCTGATGGAACATTTAGTAGAATAAGTGGACATAAGTTATCAGGGGCGATCCTAATTTTAAAGACAATATGTCGTGCATATTTCCTACCGAGGGTACACAGAATAACAATAATACCCTTTCGAATAAGACAATCCGGAATCTTTTTCGTGATAAGTTTGTACTTGGCGGAATTTCGTTAGTCCTATATAATTCCAGTCATCGTGAAAACCGCATTTAGTGATATCATATATATGTATACATATATATCTTATTTAATTAAAAAGTCTTCACAATAGAATAGCTAGATGATCTACTCCCTCACTGTTGGTTGAATAACCGTTAAAGAACGGTCTTTCCAGGAAAGCAGCCATAATTAGCAGCCATTATAACATTGATCATGATATTGGTACGGAAGAAGAAAACATGCACCACATTATATCCCCCGTAATGTAGAACCAACCCATAATCGAAACTCATGATGAGCTTGAAAAGTTTAAGGCTTAAAGCGGATGCTATTGGAGTGTATCATGCACAATTAAAATCAATATTAAATTGCTCTGATATTGTGAAGCCCAAAATATGTACGAAAACAACAAATTTGACGTTATAGGCGTGTGTATCGCTTTATTATGGATATATCTTATCATTCATACGCCGAATTCTCCATTTCCCGCTTTAAACTGCTCTGATATTGTGATATCAGCAAAAATTAAGGCGCATTCCGCCTCGATGCCAAATTCAGCGGTTTGTTCAACTTTTCAAAGGGCTCATATTTATTTGTTAATTGAACAGCAGCATACAAATCGTGCAATACAAATTTGGAGTATTTTTGTGTTTAAGATAGTACTTGGCTTGGCAGATTATATTCATAAATCAGTAAGTTACCGATAATTGCGATGCAATTAACCTTGCCTTTGTACATGCCGGAGAAAAGAAACATTCAACTTCTTTCTAGTAGTATCCATAATCGAGTCCCAAGCATGATGGGCCGAAAATGTGAATAATCGCTTCAAAAGTCAATAGATTCCTACAAACATCATATTATTTGAAGAAAGAAATGTAGTGATATGTTTCCGAAGGTTCGTCAAATTCACAGTTAAATAGGTTAAAGTAAATGTATTTGTGCTTTCCAGAAACAATTGTTCATTATTTGTATTATCAGGGAAAACAAATTCCATGAACATAATAACATGCACGCGCCATTTAAAAAAAAAAATTCGTGTATAGTAACCTGAAAACAGGAAGACACGTGCGTGCACCAAAACACTTCTTATTTGAGGCTAGACTCCATTTTGCTTTCGTTCCTGCCGACGAACTTCCATATTGTTTCTCAGATTGATTATTTGATTGACATCATTTCTATAATTGTATTTACAGTCATGTGCAATTTTTGCTATATAAACGATTACCAGATGGCAGTTTACAGTCGATATCAATACCATTTTGGTAACAGACATATAGAATGTTCTAGATTGTTCTGTAAAGTCCGATAGAGACCGCTTTCATAACATACATAAACGCGTTATTAGTTTGGTACTGATGCGGCAAAGGCACTTGACAATTCAGGTTCACATTCAAATGGCATCCCAAGAAAATAGAAATAAAGAAACACAGGTTTTATAAGCTGTTAAGGAAGAGACAAGATGACCTGTTGAAATAAGGTTTCACAAAACATTTTCTTGTTTATTTCATGGAAATTTCAGTTCATTTCCATCTTTTAATATAATTAGGTATAACACGAATGTTGAAATAGAATAAAAAGCGCAACAAATAATAGTACAGCTATGATGTTTTATATAGCTGAACAGTATTATATAGCTGAACAGTATTATATAGCTGGGCAGTATTATATAGCTGAACAGTATTATATAGCTGAACAGTATTATATAGCTGGGCAGTTTTATATAGCTGAACAGTATTATATAGCTGGGCAGTTTTATATAGCTGAACAGTATTATATAGCTGAACAGTATTATATAGCTGGGCAGTTTTATATAGCTGAACAGTATTATATAGCTGAACAGTATTATATAGCTGGAGTGCTTCTTGAAAGATGGAGATATGGAGTATACGAAAGTTGACGTACATGGTTATTTAGTTTGATACTACAAACATCACTAAATGGCAATATGAAGAGTCTAGACAGTATAGGATAGATTACCGTTGACATGGTCGTGTAACAAGGTAGGCTGAACCATTGTTGATGCCCTTGTCAGATAACTGAATATTGGTAGTTTGTATGTCCTGAAAAAACCATCGGGTATCAGTAAGATGCATTATTCATTCAAATTTCATACGCGGTTCGCTTTAAGACTTTCATACAAATAATTTATTACTGATGTAAAATCAATTTCATTGTCATCAACACATCTGCTAAGTGCTGTCAGGAGAGACGTATTTTTTTTCGTCACAAGAACATAACGACATGGATGATGTACTTAGACTCTGTGTAATATTGCTATTTTTTTTTGACATATATTGTGTGTCTGATGGAACATTTAAAAGAATCAGCGGACATAAATTATCAGGCGCGAACCTAATTTTAAAGTATCAATTCAGTAACCCAATTATAGCATGTGCTGTAGAGTGTTTCCAGACCGAATGTTTGTCTATCAACTACCAAAGTGAGACTAAGGAGTGTCAGCTTAGTAAAGACTCCCCCTACACCAACCCGGTGTTAGTACAGGAGGCACAATACTGGGAAATCTACTACCTACAGAAAGGTGAAGTATGATGAGGAGAGAATCAGTAAAACTATTACATTTATAGAAGATAGACATTCGCAAGCATGGTCACTATAGTCACTTTCTCAGTTTTCGTTAAAACATTAAATCTATTTAAGGATAAAAATGAGGAACAGCATTTCCGACAGATACATTTTGATTATTCTATCATAACATAACTTTGGCCAAAATTACGTCACCGATTATCAAGTCACATTATTTTATATTATAAATAATGCGATGCAGGTGATGCCTAAAAAGAGAGCAGTTTTTGTATAAAACTTGATACATCATATATTATGTCATCATCTGCCAGTTATGTAACAGTATTTTATTTTTGAATTCATACATAAGTCAAACATGACAGAACATATTTTAAATGACATACGATTTGAAAATCAGAGCTTTGTATTTCAACCCTTAAAACCTACAATCTAACTAACCACTTCATATTCATATTATGAATTTATCTATATGTACATACTTATACAGGTTTACATATCGCCAATTTAAAACTTAACCTGGTTACGATATCATTCAAAGTGTTCATTTTAAAGAATTAAAGCTTTCTAACAATTTTTTCTCGAGGTAATAATTCTTTCTTGAAGTCAGTGTACAAGTTATACTGGGTCCAGGGCGAGCCGGGAGTGGCGTACAGGATTTCACGTAATACTGTTTTGTCAACAAAGTTATCAACATAACATTAACCGGTGGATTTTTATAGCAGGTATTCCGAACAAACTTTAATAATGATATAAACTGATGTAGCTCTCTTTCAACTACAGTAACGAATACACCACGCTCTGATTGGTTAAAGTTGTGACATTTTACAAAGGATTTTTAATGAATGCAGTAATGCCTTATGATAGCACCAGGGAGTAAAATGACTCAAATTACATATACAGAATAAAAAATAGCGGCACAGAATAGAAAATTCGTCGTGGGCAAAAAATAGTGCTAGTTTTTAAAGTTACCCTATGTAGGTCAGTTTTGCTAAATGAAAGCAGAAACAATAAACATGGTACATTTCATACCTTCTGGTTTGCAGAATGCTATTTCAATAGAGTTCTTAGTATTCTATATACATCCAGAACAATTTAGAGTGTTCAAAACAAGTGTTAATCTTTTATCAAATTGGATTGGAAAAGTGTCAAACCTACGAGTTTCTAGTGTATAAGGCTAGGACTTTCAAATCAATTATTGTTTTCATACACATAAAAATCTTTTATGATGTTAGTGTATCTTTGCACAATGTAGGTATATCCTGTTTTACACTATGGCATTTTGTAGAGACATTTTGGATTGAAACAAAACTGCATTTCACGTTGGTTTAATTGTGTTCATCCGATGTCTATACGATATATGTTTCAGGTTAAATGTAAATTTATGTTTACAAAGGTCATCCCAATCGGAAGATAAGCATGTCAAAAATGTATATGCTTGGATTACCAGTACCTTAATATCCTTAAAGACACTCTTTTCTGACTAACCGAAGTCACATAATGAGAAGAAACTAATCATTGTTTCGTTAATGAATAAATCAAATGAAATTCTCTGTTTATATATCATATTCAGAGAAGGGGGCCATTGGGTTGTACAGAAGGCATGCTAGTAAATAACATCTTTCTATACAAAGTGTCTATTAACATCAATGTCAAAAATAAACTAATCAAGTTCGAAAAGGGGAAAAATCATAGTGAATGTAAAACCTATTATAATTCCAACATGATATGTACATTATTGTAAACCTCAAACAACGTAACTAACATTTCAGTAATATATAGCATCATCAGATGGAATTCTATATTAAAAAGGTTCAAGGAATCAAGTCGATACCCAAATCAAATCGTTACGTTTATATACATATACATTAGACGACACCATTTAATGAAATAAATATATATTACTTAATTTACAGAAAATGACTGGGAGCTGGTCTTCAGAGCTCAGGCCCACAACAACATCAGTCCTTATAATGCCTGGATAGGGACGTTGTCTCTACCAACATTAGTGGAAGAGGGCTGCCTGCTATTGATGAATACATCCACGTGCACGACCATATATAGAAACGACATTCTGAACACATGGGATTCGGAGAGCATTTCTGAGGCAAGTTTATATGTATTTGCTCCATTGTTTTGAACTACACCAATTTCTGAATTATAACTTAACGTTAAGATAAAATTCCCGTAGAATCCGCGTGAGCTTTGCTTGAATTTTTTGAATACTTTTAAATGCGTGTATCTTACGATTGACACTTATAGCTTTGTGTTACAGTTTTCTGTTTTACATTTTCGTCCATGACACCACTGATGTATTCTGAAAAGACGAAACCACAGTATATTACAGTTTGCTACCATATTTTGTTTATACTGCAAGTGTTATTCACAAATGTGTTGTTTTTTCAGTTCTCTGAATGGGATCACCTGTCATGTATCAGTCACGTCCCTGTAACTGATCTTCCGGACAAAGTCCTTTTGTTTTTGAATCAACATTCGATAATTGTAATGTTTGAGTATTTTCATCGCTATTCTGGATTTGTTTGTTTATTTCTAGTACTGCGGTTGAGCATGTTTTTCGAGGTATCACATTTACCTGCTATTGTGTCTTATAATAAAGAAGAGACAGCAGAAATTTATGACCACATAAAATTATGTAACACGACACTATTATGTCGCTATAAAATGATACTTTGTTCTTGTGTTAAAGAATTATTGCGATGTTGGCTATGGAGTGATGGAACACTCATATGCTTTCAGGAACCGATCCATACTGGCTAGAAAGGTGGTCGTATTTATACTAGACATGTTAATTAACTGATGAAGTACTAATACACATTAGCTTACTAGTAAACATGGATTGAAGTATACATGAATTGTCCACAAGGTCTTGCACACATAAATGGCAATAGATTCGTCTGTTTACAACCAGATAAAATTACACTGACCATCATACAAACTGCTTAGATAGGCTTCAGGTAATTGACTTATAATGAACTAATACATGAACATGTGAAGTAGATCAGTAACGACAGAATACCTCTGGCCACTGGTCAATACATAAATGTTCACAGTAGATGTCAGTTCTAAATTAACATAGGCAGATACATTATGATGAAACATCTAACTTATGTCTAGTATAATTTTGAATCTTACATATAAAATTGTTTATAGTTCAGCTATTGTGCTGATCCATTCCTTGATTAAACTAACAGGTAAAGCTAGAACTCTACAAAGCTGGTGTCAGAGTGGTAAACATCCGCTTTGATGGTAAAGGATCGAATTATATCGATTGGTTTGGCATCGACCGATTAATAGACAGTGGCTGGGAGACCTTGACTAAGCATCGCACGTTTAATCACTTCACGCTATGGGGGTAAGTTTCTTATATATCTAGATTAAAATTGTTAGGATAAGTTTGCGAAAAATTAGCATTTAACAAGTTTAATTTGAAAAATGAAAGTGTACACTTCTCGTTAGAGTGATCAAGCTACCGTTTTCAAATTGATCTTGATACATTATATATGTTACTAGGTTCATGCTGCTATTTGATCTTATATACTACCAATCTCAATACCAATGTAAGAATATTGGATTTAAATGGCCAACTCGAAATTCCAGTGATTACTGATCTGGTTTATTTTCTATCAACTCACCTTTCAAAGATTACGCTTTAGATATAATTATTGCCAGATGTAACATCATACATGAATATTGATAAACAGGATGATAAAAGTTTAAATTACTTTTGCTTTGCTCATTGCTGTTGATATTTCATTACCTAGGTCAGAATGGAGAAGATTTTTGATTAACCAGTATTATGGTGGCTGTCCCTTTGACTCTGGTTGGATGGCAGTAATTGAATCTAATCGGAATATGGAATTTTGTGCCTGGGAGTCCTCCTCAATTAGACCAGTATTTTTGTTTGCTAGAGGAGAAGACGTTACACGATGGATAAACTATGGTAAGATTATTAATAGAAGTAATTTTATCTGTAAGGTATAGGAATGGAAATGGTTTTGAAACAATGTGGGATGATGCAAATATGTGATAAAAGTTTTGCTTTCAACAAAGGTTGGTGGTTGTGGGAGTAATACGGAAATACATGTTTGAAGAAAATATTTATTCTGAGACAAGAAGAAATTTCCTTAGCACAGCACTGTAATAATTATGCGATATACAGAAATAAGTATTAAACAGAAACCAATGGTAGCGATAATTTCTAACTCAAAGATGACTCGTCTATCAGTTCTCATCCAGGTGGAGAAAATGAAAGCCTTCTTCACATAATAACAATTAAACAGTCTCAACAATCACATATACATTGCTAAGGGTATTATCTGGTCAATCAAACATGGTCGAAATAAATGTTTAACACCGGTGTGGTGGGGGTATCACTAACCGCAATATTCAATCTAGAATATAGTTTAAACGTTGTATCTTTCTTTATAATTAGTGTCAAGATTAAGTCGTAATGTAATGGAGGCAGGTACATGCTATAATACATCTAGTATATCAGATGCCTAGAAGGTGAGATGAAGTAACCACACGTTCAATTAATTTCTTAATTGTAGAAATTGTATGATTCACATTCTAAAAATAGTATTAGCAAAAATCAATTGAATTATGAAACAATGTAATATGAATCGTGTTCAAATCTTTTCTGTGTGTGTACCTCGAATGGTGCTGATTATGACGGTTGCTAGAGTATATACAACTTAAGTCAAACATACTTTTCCTTTTTGCTACCAGAGTAAAATTCTGCTTTGACAGCGCCATTTGTGACCATTCCGTTGATGAAGATACTCAAAACAAATCTTCAAACGTATTTCTAACAACTAAAAATGTGTAATTTCTCGGTCGAATTACATATTTCCTAATTAAAGTACGTACAACACAGATGCTCTGGGAACCATTCCCGCCTTATTGGTTTATAAAGATCGATACAAACACCGTCTACTCTCATCCATCTTGAAACAAACCCTCTCAATGTTGTCCGTTTGTTTTAATGACATGTTTACTTTCAGATCACGGCTTTGCAGATGTATTAGCAGTGTTCATCAGACGTTGACTCCGTTCGACTACCACGCACACCACAGTCTGCTAATGAAAATGGAAAACCAGCTCTATAGACCAATCAAAGCGTACTTTCTGGTGGTTTTGTATAGTCTCCAATCATAACATTCCCATTGATTAAAGATTGGATAGAAAGGAAGTGATATTTATTTGGTTTAGTTAAAGATACATTTGTAAGAAATAGAGAAGAAAAGGAGCGATGACAACAACAGTGAAAGTACCACATTTCACGAAGGAAAAGCGTCTTCTGATATGACAAACTCCGTAAATGGTGTATAAGATAAAATCCATTTATACCAATCTCACTGAGAATTAAAACTCCTCTTTTTTATATTGCACTAGAAATTGTACAAGATAACACTTTGCTATGAGATAATGACGACGACTTTCAAATCATTTCACACAGTCATTATGAAAAACGAAGGAAAGCGGTTTCATTTCTGCCAAGGAACAGGTCACATCCACCGTGAATGTCCGTGTAAACTTAAAATTCACCAGGACGGTGAGTACGGCATAAACACGACAGAGAACGACGACACGAATACAATGGAAAACGACGTCGACACAATATACGTATCTAGTGTAAACAATCCAGGTGCATGTGACAAAAATAGAATAGAATCATCGCACGGCGAGCAAAAAGAACGACAGGGAGTGCCTAGTGACCCGACTGTAAATAATGTAGTTCTTGGTACATCTAATGCAAACCGTATGAACATAAAGTGTGATAAGGTGTGGAACGCTTCTATCAATGGAGCATCGTTCGCGGAAATAGACAGATTGATAGACAAGGCAAAAAACATCACAGATGAGAAGGTTGAGAATGTTATTCTACATTTGGAACAAAAGACATTCCTACAACGAAAAACGACAGGTGACAATTAAGATCATTGAGGCACTTTACAAAGTCGAAAGAGCATTTCCGGAATCAACAAACGGGATTTTTACTATCATAAAAAGAAAAGGAAAAGGGACAAGACCAACATTTTCATAAAAAAGCTGTGTAACAGTAGGGATTATTTGTTACAGACTGTTACGATGCGCTTACAAAAGACAACAATGCCGTTGGTACATTCATTGAAAAAAAACGACATGGCAGGTATACATGTGGACGAAGCTTGGGCGAATAAATGGAACACAATGTACAATTGTATGCGTACTAGCAGTGTTATTGCTTGTTTCGCTGATGGTTTGAAAACACCCGCTGGCAGGAAACTTGCTCTGAGTAATAAAATACCCCACCGGAGGACAAACTCGACAGTAAGTCACAAAAGACGGATGATTGATTGTACTTTATAGTAATACAAAATGTATATTCAATCTGTGTCACACTCTTACCAGCTTACATGTATATTGTATATATGTATATAAACATTTGTAAATTATGCTAATAATATCACAAGTAAATGTTTGCTAACTGTCATTAGTGTAAATGTAAATGGTTTGAGGGACAGTAATAAGCGAGAGAGAGTACTACAATGGATAAATAGTCAACAAATTAATATAGTGTTTACAGGAAACTCACTGTACTGAAGCAGAACAAACTGCATGGAGTAAACGATGGTAATATATGTCTAAGGGGGGTAACAGCATTTGATGCCATGGAATTAGCTCATCAAAAGGTGTAGCAATACATGGTAATGCATGCAGTCAATACATATATTGGAAACAGGCAAAGGTCAAAATGAAAGATTTATTTCTTGTACGATAAAATCTGAAAACAAAAATATTCATTTGTGTACTATATATTTGCCTCAAATATTGGGAATGAACTGAAGATTTTCTTTAATACCATTGGCAATATTATTGATGACACTAGAGATGCTTCGTCTGAGTGCATTTTGGCAGGTGATTTTAACTGTACTGTTGATAATTCTATAGATAGAATTCCAACACAAACTAAACTAGATATTGGATATATAGAGTTTATTACACTTGTAAACAATAACAATCTAGAAGACATATGGCGGTCACAACATAATAATAGCAAATATTTTACGTTTAAACGTGGATCTTCAGAGTCTAGAATTGACATAATTTTCACACCAATGGTTTTGAATCATCTCTTTACTAATCCAAGTATTAAATTTTGTCCTTATAGTGATCACAATATGATAAAGTAAAAATGTTACCACATGACATAGAACGGGGTCCTGGTAACTGAAAGATGAGTAATCAAGTAATAGAAAAGTCATTATTCTCTAAAGGCTTTGAAAAGTGTTGGAAGAAATGGATATTAGATATACCAAACTACAGGACTATTTTAGAATGATGGGAAATAGCAAAAATAAAAATTAAAGAATTTACTATGGAAATAGGCAAACTATTAAATTCAAATCACAGAGTAATTAAGGAATGAGAAAAAACAATTAGAAATCTCAGAAGAAAGGAAAGAGGAGGAAAAGATCAAAGAACTGAAAAGAAAAATTAAGGAGCATTATGATAACAGAAGTAATGCGGCAAGAGTGAGGTCAAGGGTTCAACATTTTAAAGTAAGTTTACAGCTTATTTTTTCAATTTAGAGAAGAATAATGGTCAAAATAATTTATGGTATAAAATAAAAGCTTCAGATGGTAATTACAAAAGTGGCATACAAAATATAGTAAAAGAACAAGTAAGATTTTATGAAAACCTTTTTCAAACTGAGGGATGGGACAAAGAAAAAGTTGAAAGTCTAACACAACATATAGAAAACAATATTAATGAAGAAGAAAAAAAATAGACAGAGATATAGAAAATGAAGAAATATACAATACAATGCGTTCCTTAAAAAACGATAAATCACCTGTCGAAGATGGAATAATTACAGAATTCTATAAAAGATATTGGGACATTATTGAAATATGTGTTTGAAAACAGTCTACCATCAAATTCAGTAAGTAGGGGAATACTAAAATTACTTTCCAAGAAAGAGGGAAGAGAAGACATTTAAAACTGGAAACCACTAACAATGTTTAACACAGACTATAAAATTATTGCAAAAAATAATAAGTAATAGAATTAAACTTGTTTTACCAAAAAATATTCATTGTGACAAAAAAGGATTTGTACCGGGTAGAAATATTATGGACGCAAACAGACAACTACTGGATATAATTGATTACTGTGGTAGATGAGAATGGGGCAATAATTTTTATTGACCAGCAAAAGGATTTTGATAAAGTAGAATGGAATTGGATTCTGCATTGTTTTAAAAACTTTAGTTTTGGTAATTAAAATGTTAATGTATAATGCAATAACATGTATTGAAACTAATAGTTTTACTTCTAAATATTTCAAGTTGACGAGATCATCTAGACAAGGGTGCCCGATGGCCTCAATTAAGTATATTCTGCAGGCAGAACCTCTAGCACGTATGATTCGGGCAAATTCACATATTAAAGGAATGTTTTACCCAATGCAACTGGTGCAGATGTAAAACTGGTTTTCCCGACGATTAACAACATTTACACAGAACAGAAGAATCAATCGAACAATCATTTGAAATTGTAAAAATCTATGAAAAAGCCTCGAGTTTAAAATTAAACTATGAAAAAACAGAAGGTATTTATTTAGGAAGATGGAAAAATAAAAAAAACCAGAATTAGACACGATTAAATGGACAAAAAATTCAGTGAAAATTTTGGGTATCCATCATGGATATAATAGTGATATTGATTGCGTATAGAGAGAAAAAAATTCAAAAAATAAAGAATTGTACTCATATAAGGAAAACAAGAAACCTGACATTTAAAGGCAAAGTACTTATAATTAGGTCACCAATCTTATCCACTATAAGATTTGAAATTGAGGCAAGAGGAATTCCAGAAAATGCTGTAGCAATAAACAAAATGGAGGTATAAATATGGTTGATTTAGAGAAATTCATCTTAAGTAAATATATAAAGACTTTTTACAGACTTATACACTCCAACCTAGAAAGTTGGAAGGCCTTTGGTAAGTTTTTTCTTCAAAAATTTGATATGAACTCTAATATGAAATTTTTCGTCTGTTCATGCTCTAATCATGATAGTTTCAACTTTAATATTATACCTTATTTTTTTACAAACAAGGTCTTAAGGCCTGGTCAACATTCTTAGGCAGACTTCCAGTGAATAGTAAAAAAGAAATTATAAATCAACATTTATGTGGAAATGTGTTATTTAAGGTCAAGGGGAAGTCACTCTGTTACAGCTCCTTTTTGAAAAGTGACATATCAACTATAAAAGACACCGGGAATGAAAGAGATAATTTTTTATTGATAGTACATCTCTTCTTGAGAAATTGAGAAGAAAAACCAATTGGATAGCTCAGTTTTCAAATGTTGAATTATCTATTCCCTAGATAATTATTACTATTATGACAATAACTACTTGTATGAAATACACAATACGGAAGATTAGAAACATTTTGAAATATCAACACAAAAACATAAATACAGAGTCTTCATATATAATATTTAAAGAATTATTACTTGATGATGTGAAACAGTATACAAAATCCATTTCTCTGAAGGATAAGACAGTTACATGTCACTACTTTCTTCCTTTTAATTTTTCAACTTACTAGGAAGAGTTCTGTTTACAGACATTTTTCTTGATATCTGTGTCAACTGTTATTTTGCTAACTACTGTTTTATGCATTAATTGTAATATCATTGAATTTATTTTAAAAGTTTTCAAATCAGTCAAAAGAATAACTAAATAAATGAATGAATTAATGATGAATGAAGGAATGAAAGAAAATGAATGAATGCATAATTGAATACTATTGATGGGGAATGTTCTCAATCTCTTACATGATATATGTTGGTAAATGCAGAATTGTAATATATATATAAAGGAAAGTTAGATATTCTACCATGAAAAAAACGTTTATAATGCAAGTATTTATTTAATTTAAATGTTAATAACACTAAAAAATGCGTCTTGTTTTGACAGTGTTCTGTTTGGTAGGGCTCCCCCAACCACTGGACATTGACACGGCGGAGTGTTTGTTTTTTTGTAATGTTTATATCAGACTTGACAGGTTTTTATGGTCCAAAGGGAGAAAACTTTAACTAGGAATGAAAGGAGTGTTTTAAGAGGATGAAAGTAAACATATGTCGAGTGAAAGCTCTCTTGTATGAGGACACATAATATTAACTTTTCATTGCCTTTGGTTAAATCAGTATTTTTTATCTGAAAAAAAAAAAAAACAAAAAAACAAAACAAAAACAAAAACAAAAAACATAAAAACGAGCGCATAATTTCTACTGAGAAACTTTGTCAATATAAATCATCAACATGGGCTAATGATATCATCAACAGGCGATGTGATGTAAATTTGTCAGTATCAATCGCCAACATGAACTAATGATAGCAGCAACAAGGGATGTGATGTGCATTTGTCAGTATCTCAATCATAAACGTTATAGGATCAACTGGCGATGTGAAAGAAAAGCTCATTCATTGATGCTACCTGAGAGAGATTTAGCGTTACTTTCACTTCACCGTGTTTGTCCAGCGTACTGAGTTTTTGTATCATCACCTGGAAGTGATGATGTAAGAATTCTTGTATAATTCAAAATGTAAAAAAATGGTTTCCCGCTTAGTATTTCACTTTTATAACAGAATATCTGTGTATTTTCACTCGAGTTTTAAGATATTATGTTTTATTATTTATCATACTTTATTATTATTTAGAGAAAGAAACAACACTTTTAAAAGAGTGTAGCAGTGGTCACTTATGTTTATGCATAAACAAAGCACGTTTCTCATTTAGGATTACCTCTCATATATCAACGTGCCATCCACAAACGTTGGTATAATGTGATTGTTGCCCCTATCGTACTTGATTACGTCGAAATACAATTAATTTCAGTGATACAAGAATGTATTGTTTGTTAAAATAGAATGTCTTAGATTAGGTTCGAATGAGTATACCTTGCAAGATATAGATGTGGATTCCAATGAAACCTTAAAGGTAAGACGGGGCTATATCATATTCCATCACATACCTGATTCCGCCGTGATTTGGTATTTGAAACTTACCTGCGGTTGAAGGATATATCCCGCGCTAAATTTTGATATTTTGAGTAGGCCGATCGTGACTCACGAAAGGGGTGGAACATACTCGCTAGCATGTTAAGCTCTTAGACTGAGCTGGATAATGTGAGCAGCTCATTTGAAGTGGGACATAACACAAAATGCGTTGTTTTAAAGAAGAATAAGACTTTGGTAAAGAAGAAAGTCCTTTGTCAAGTAAGGAAGACACATTGTAGTCCACATTACAGGAGTTTAACGTTCTTTAAGTACGATATGTAAATGATAATTACTATTTCTTTTACTTTTGCTGTAGGTCTACAATTTCATTTAATGTAAATGAATCTGTTTCTAAAAAGTGTTGTTGACATATTTCATTTGATGACCATAAGTAGTTGTAATCTGAGTATTTTATATGTTTTTTATCACTCTACTTTTTCATATAATTGAATGTTGTAGATAGATACACAATACATGTCTTGTGTCTTTGGTAAATGTTTTGTAAATATTAACATTTCACTTGAAATTATTGATAATTTAATGTTAGCAACTACCAGCTTTTTAGTGTTAGATTTTGTTGATATGAATTGTATATTTCTGATTACAGTAAAAAAGGAAAATTATATCTTGTACATGTAATGTTAAGATATATGTTTCGAAAACTGCATTGGAACTTATATTTACTCAAGATCTTTAAACGTGACTTTAGAGTCAATTATATGTTTACTTTTTCATACATCTGTACAATTTCAACAAGATGTCTCTAATACCCTGGTATTCTGTTTTTGAAGTCATAGATTCAGTGTCAGTGTTGTAAATATACATATGTTATTTCACAATTTGATTATATCTTGATAATCTTTCAATCAGTCAGAGTGTCTCAATGCAGTTCTATCACTTATAACCACCTGACAAAATGTAAATGTATACTTGAACTCAAGGACCTTTTTCGAATTATCTTATTTTTCATTCCAGGATTGTAAGGCCTTAAGTAAGGGTGTTCTGAAAATAATAGCTATTGATTATGTTTTGAAGACTTTTTGTGTACAGTATTTAATCTTCCTATATTAGTCAAGTGTGGCATAGTTTGTTGTCTTTTATTTTACGCTTTTGTAAAATACAAAATTTCTTTTTTTTTTTAACTTTTTGGATTAATATTTTTTCACTACAGATATTTTTTTCAGGCGTCCTTATTGTCCATAATACATAGTTGAAAGTTATGGAAGTATTCATTTGATCGACTATATATACCTGTGGCAATTATTATTATTACTTTTTTGTTTCAGTAGGTTCTTAGTGGTTTATGTATGTTAAAAGTAGTTAGAAGAGTCTAACTTAAACACAATGTTTTTTACTTTTGTTAATTAAAACATTCAAACATAATATCTTAGAATTTTTTGTCTTGTTATATACTTTGTTATCTATATTTCGCTTATTAACTTAAAAAGGGCGGATTTATGACGTTTTGAAGAAATTTTGCTTGTGGACTACGTTTTTGACGGTACAGTTAACTGAGTGATTCGGTTAAAAGCGCAGTGTAACTGTGGGACGAGCGACGTAGATTTGCACAGCAAAGAAAACACGATGTTACACTTTTTACAATATATATATTTATTTACACTACATACATGTACAAATATATGGCATAAAACAGCTAATTACACCACATCGACACACAAACACACTCCCTCTTAACACAGAAATACATATGAAAGTCTTTGAAAGTCTCTAGGGCATTCCCTCCGTCCTTCGAATATTCCCAATGTACTCCTCTGGGTGGTCTAACGCACACCAGCTATGAACACAGCAGTCCGAACACTAATCCAATATCGCCACACACAATGGCTAGCCCAGGCAAAATCAAATGTGACTCCGAGTTGCTCAAACAAGGCAACACACCATCAACCGGTGACACCAAACACATCGGTGTATATGGAAGATCTTCCAGCACATACATATGTCAGGATAGTTGGCATGATCTCCCGGTGACAACTCTGGACGATGGAGAACAAACGTCCGCCTCAGATCTACACATTAATGACTCTGTCATAATCATATCAAGGTCGTGCGTCGGCGGGTCTGGTCATATCCTCCAATTCAGGGGTAAAACTAATAAAAAGACGGAAACACGACGTAAGACATCAAATCCCGACGAAAATACCATAAATGGAACCATAACTACCATACTCACATTTCACTCACGCGCTTCCATACTTTTACAACCTAGTCAAACTGAGGTTTGTAAGTTAACAACAATAAATAGTATTTGGCATTAATAGGTAATCTAGGACATAAAGTAATCACTAATTATAAATCAATATAGACAGCAATACAAACTAACTAGATAGCAAATAGGTAGTCTTGCGGTCCACAATATAAAACAACCCTGTATATGCAACCTACGGGTCTCCATACATACTGATAATTCATATATCAAATAACATTAGGAAAGTTACCAATACTGGTATAAAATGATTAATACATTGCATTTATACTATTATTTTAATCATAACACCAATGCATAACGCTTATAGCATGCCTAAATAAACCATACACGATATTATATAAACATACGAACACAATAACAACTCAGTTACGCTTGAGAGGACCGCACTATCTGGAAATGCTCGACCGGTCGTTATCAGGTAAATACAGTTAAAAACGGGCAACATATATAAACAAGGGACAAAAAAAATCAATACTCACCACAGTCAGCTATCTGTGTTTTCAATACATTTGCGGCCTACGGATACTGTAAATAACTCCGTAGTGAAACTATAGCATGATTACCGCCATGTTTCAAAATGTATTCTCCCCTCGGAACCTCTCTCATCTTATCAAACTTACCTGATCGAGCCGGCTTCGGTAATATAGTGTGCAATCCACCAAGTTACAACATAATACATACTACACATACAAAACAACAGAATATGAATAAAATACATAAAGTTATATATGCGACCGTGACACGCAGTTTCAACGTTTTCTGGTTGCTAAGGTACTTCTCATGAGTATAACTTTGGAAGTCTTTGGTAGATTTCAACTTTTTTTAAATCAAGTGAACATCTTCACTTTTCTTCCCTTAATATCCAATCATGACCTTACTTTGTAATAAAACACGAAAAATCGTTTCAAATAAGGTTGCCACCAAAATAGCAGAGAATGTTAGTTCTTCAGAAAAAAGAATGAAAGATGGAAATGAATCAATACCTGTTACACAAATTTTGACGCCTGTGCCGGAAAAGTAATACGGCAACACACTGATTGTTTGTTTTTAATGCTCTCTCTAAAACCATGCTTTTCAAATAAAAAATTAGGAAATAAAGTTCAATACTGGACTTAAAAAGGTTTTATATAAGGCTAATTGAATGATAATGTGAGGATAGAGACATAACTAGTTCAAATCTGTACACCAACATATCATTGATGTACATATGCATATTTGATCAATATAAATTTCATGAGAAAACGATATGGGATACACACGGAATGGACTAATATGGACATGTACCTTTTAATATCCTTGAACCATACAAAATACTTAATTAAAATAATTACTATACAAACATGTACCGTTTGTACAAAGCTTCCAGATTAGATGTATTTAGAAGTGACCCTTAGTTATTACACCTCATGTTTGGTTCCTCAGTAACAATCTTGTAATTAATTAAAAACAATCTTAAAATGTAAATTACTTTACAAGATGTATGCTGATATGAACTTAAATGCATTTGCTATTCAAATATCTTAGTAGCAGATGAGCAATTCACAAAGTACTTTTCATATAATTTCAGATAAGGAAGTTGTACTCTATTACTCTATCTCTTACTAGAACTACATTTCGCAGCTGTTTCTCCACTTGCTTCGAAATCATTTCTCCGTGGAATACTGCGTTCGGGTTTCGGACCATAAAACATGAAGTCAACACATATGGAAAAGGAGATAATTATGTCAGGTCTCTGATTTTATTTCCTTACTCTATGCTCTTAATATGAATTATGGCATAGTCATTTGAAGCGAGCGACAATTTATCTGGCGACAATCATAATTCAATCTAAAGTTTCAGGAACGCTTCCTTTCTTGAATATTGCATTTAATATGTTCCTAAATAGTACATGTTGTTTTGTGTTTACTAGTTAACCCTTTCGTACAATCTCGGCAGGTTTGTCGGGCGAGATACTAATTGCTTAGTCTCGTTCTGCCAGGCCCTTGTCTGCACATCTAATGAACCATCAGGGTGGACGACACTATATGTTGCTATGGTCATCTTTACGAGTTTTCGCCATATGAACAAAGCGTTACTGGAACTTATCGTTTTAATGTGGTACGCGAAAAACTGATTTTATCTGGGATAAAGAAAAGTCAGAGGGCTTTTGGTGCCCACCTTTGTTGGATCTTTATTTGATCTTGAAAAAATAGCTCTTTTCCGTTGTTGTTTTTTTGTTAAAATGAAGGACCTTGATCCACTCTCACGGCCAAAACAGGCAAATGAGTAAAAATAGTTTAACGAATCTTCTCAATGACCAAATGGATCCGAATGTTGATATTTCTATAATCACATTCCACGAGTTCCATCGCTGATAACAATGACACCACTTCAGAACGTTGTCGTGATGTTCACTACTTCATTAGGTGATGTAAGAAAAGGGACCTGAAGCAAGCGCAACTCTCAGTCCTCTGATCTCCGACGTCTAAGTGCGTACATGAGCTCAATAATGGTAGGCAGTCTGGTGAAAACTCAACCGTGGAGCCAATATAGAATTACATATACGTATGGTGGCTGTCTTATCCACATTTAGGCCGTCCGTACAAGAGTCAAAATCCAACTGTCCCTGGTATAGTTTGAGAATGAGAATTCCATTACATCGACATCAGATATATCTAGAATGCTATGTCATTAAATGTCGCCAGCTTCTTTCGGTCATAACCTTCAAAATCAAGGATGACGGTATTTTAAATGGTCAGCAACGAAATAGATCATCGATAACATTGTATAGTTATCACATTTGGAAGTATTTAGCTGATATTCTGTATTAGATTTGAACATAATTTGTCTACATTAGATAAAAAAATAATTTTGAAAATTTCAAAAAATATCGACTGATTCTTACTCTTTTCACAACTTACGCAGGTTATGATATGGCCAATTGCAGGTTTATCTGAGAAAAAAAAAAACACTAAGAAAATACCAAAATGGCATTATAAGCATAATCTAACCTCAAATTTCATTAAACTAGGGCAAAATATATAGAAGAGAAAGACTTACAGGGAACTCCTGATAAAGTCCAAAGAGTAAGCGTCTTCTGCTTTCTGCTTACGAGCATGAAACAAGTTCACTTTATATCACACTAAAAATAGAATATTTCTCAATGAGATCACTATAGCGACCATCAAACTTCCCCCGAATTTTCATCAACTTTCGCCTTTTGAACCCACTGTTACGAGTTTGTCCGTCAATTGACGACTTCATGCACGAAAACCGGAACAGATCCTTGAATATCGAATCAACTGTGACATGTAAATGCCACAGGTAAGAGATGCTGGGATATTGCTCTACAAAAGTGGAAAATTCACAATAGGGAAATTGAAAACACCACCTTTATCATACAGCTTGGTATGTTGGTTTCGTTATAGGAAAAGAGTCTTTCGTGTCTTTGATTTCCAAATCTAGTTGATTTACGCAATGGACGTGTTCAATCAGTTTCTTGTTGTTATTTCAAGACAAGACAGAATGAATATACCTGAAAGTGAAACCAAACGACTTTGCAAAGTCTTTGTGACCTGTTTTGATTTAGCTTCGTATGAAGACGAAAACAAGTTAGACAACAGAGGGGCGCAGTTGGTTCCAATATGCCAATAATCTAGAAGATGTTGTAAACCAGAAACTCGATCATTTTTATGAAATAAAGTGAGTTGGCAACACTACACAGTCAAGCTTTACGACTGCATATTCGCTGACTCCAACTAAATCTCCATGTTTTTAGAACCAGGATGGCGGTTTCGTCAAACTTGGGTCGGATCCAAGTATTTGGTTCACAGTCTACATCCACCTTAGTGATGTTGATGTGTGTGACATTTACATCATTGACAGATCAATTTGTTTTTAGATATATTAATTGTCAAAGCATGAATGAAATTAGACAAATGCTATTGTTATTGCTGGTGGCGATTCTAAATGACTTTGGCAGAGTCGTTGGAACAATATTTTTGCGTTATCCTAGCTACCGGATGTACCGTAGTTACTCTCTTAGCAAATAACGTAGTCAAAATTAATACAATAAAGAATGAAACGATGTGAAGATATGCATTGAACATTATTGTTATTGTGTTTACGGTGTCGTGAACGCAATGGGATTAAAAAAAATCAATATATAGAATATGTATCCCATTAATTATAACACCGTGAACGCAATAAAAATGTTAAATCCATAATTCTACTTAAAAAGAACATTCCATTTGTCATTTGTCATGCTTGACATTAATAATTATTAGATACAATAATAATAATAATAAATATATATGTTTGTTTTTTGGATTATTTGTCGAAAGAACACCTGACAGTAGTATTGTATAGCGGTAGTGTTCATGAAAGATCGAGATATTGAGTATATTAAGAGTAATGTTACTTGATTTGTTACCTTTATTATGACTAAGGGTCCTAGTGTTAAATATTACCTCATCAGCCATTTCCCATATGCTCTCTTTCATTATTTGTATATATATGTGTATTGAGGAAATGTCCGATATCGACCAATCATCAATTTGATAATTGTTAATAATACATTTCCTGCTAATTAACAAAAACACTCCGCTGGCTGTTCAATATTGTTTTATTGAATAATTAAGGATGTATGATCGATAATTTTATCTGGTGGCTATTCTCAGAATTAATATGGTCCTCGTCACAAGAACATGACGACATGGGCGGTGTTCTAACACTCTATGTTGCATTTCTTTGTTTTATTAGAATATATTGTGTGTCTGATGGAACATTTAAAAGAATCAGTGGACATAAGTTATCAGGCGCGCATCTAATTTTAAAGTATCAATTCAGCAACCCAATTATAGCATGTGCAGTAGAGTGTTTCCAGACCGAATGTTTGTCTATCAACTACCACAGTGAGACTAATGAGTGTCAGCTCAGTACAGACTCTCCCTACACCAAACCGGTGTTAGTACAGCAGGCACAATACTGGGAAATCTACTACCTACAGAAAGGTGAAGTATGATGAAGAAAGAATCAGTAAAACGATTACATTGATGGAAGATAGACATTCCCAAACATGGTCACTATAGCCTTTTTCACTTTCTCAGTTTTCGTTAAAACATCTAATTTGTTTAAAGATAGAATGAAGAAAATCAATTTTTAATATCCACATAGATTAATCCAGATTACACGAAAATAACATGACGTCATTTTAATTCAATGTTTACCTATATTACGTCAACGATTAGCACGTCGTATTTGATGAGGAAATAAACCTTGATATAACAATGTAAGCCGATACAGAGAGAGAGAGAGAGAGAGAGAGAGAGAGAGAGAGAGAGAGAGAGAGAGAGAGAGAGAGAGAGAGAGAGAGAGAGAGAGAGAGAGAGAGAGAGAGAGAGAGAGAGAGATTACATTATACTAAGTTGACAGTATGATAATTTTTAAGCTCACTATTCATGCAAAATTCTCAGAATTCTTAGTAAATCGTACAAAAGACAGAATATATACGTGTATAGTAAAGGCATCAATACCAAAAGGATTCGTGATGCTATGCATCAATTAAGGGTTTACTGTAATATTTTTACTTTATTGATCCGCTGCTTATTAAAAGAGTACATCTAAGTTTTTAGTGTTATAGATCAATAAGATAATCTAGTAAATAGTAGGGACAAATGAAGGTCTACTCTACAATGTAAGCATATGTTAAAATGTGGGAGAGGAGGCTTCAGTCAAATCTGGTGTCATGAGAATGGAAATATATATCTAAAGTGTTCAAAGATACATAATTCCAAAAGAGTCGAAATCGAACACAATTTGTTTCTTTTACATATAAATATACATTTGGCAACATCAGTCCACGAAATAAAAATCTTTTACAGAAAATGACTGGGAGCTGGTCTTCAGAGCTCAGGCATACAATAACATCAGTCCTTATAATGCCTGGATGGGGACGTTGTCTCTACTAACTTCAGTGGAAGAGGGCTGCCTGCTATTGATGAATACATCCACATGCACAACCATATATAGAAACGATATTCTGAACACGTGGGATTCGGAGAGTATTTCTGAGGCAAGTATGACGTAATATCATATAATTGTTTTATTATCATATCTTACCACTACACTTCAGTGTTATATTTGAATTTGTATTTAAATTCTTCAGCCTTTATGCTATTTTATATGTTCGAATATTGAAACAAAATATTTGTGATATGTTTGAATTTCCGAATTTCTACTGCATAATAAGATTAAGTTTCCCGCAGAATGTTTGATATGAATCGCAGCATAAATGTCTTGGCACTTAATACCTTCTGTTACAGCTTTAGGATTTTCATTTCGACCATAACATCAGTGACGAATCCCAGTACATTAATTATGCCATTCACCAGAGTGCCCTTGAAGTTTTATTCCACAGTCGACTGATATCCGAATCTCTTCATTGTGAATTTTGTATTGTCCCATGTCTGTGCTTCACTAGTGTGTTTGAATTCTTGCACTTCACATGAGTGTTTTATTCGGGTTATCACATTTACCTTATATGTATTTCCTTTTGTTTTGACACACATTACATCAAACAACAAAATCAAGTTGCCATTTTAAACTCCTAGATTTCATTGACAGGTAAAGCTAGAACTCTACAAAGCCGGTGTCAGAGTGGTAAACATCCGCTTTGATGGTAAAGGATCGAATTATACCGACTGGTTTGGGATCAACAGATTAATAGACAGTGGCTGGGAGACCTTGTCTAAAAGTCGAAATTTCGCTTACTTCTCAGTGCGTGGGTATATGTACGTGCCCAACTGGCAATAACTTATATCAATAATTCCGTGAGCTAAATGAAATCTTTTATCCGTTTTCTAGGACGTAAAATACATAATTAAACAACATTTTAACTCAATTCACTCATTTTAAGTCAAATAATTGTATATACCAGGTGATCAGTAGTACATACGAGGTAAACTTTGGGATGTAGCGGTTACACAGTCAAACCATCTCTCCTCTTATAGAGCCCCATCAAGCGTTTCGGTGACCAGGAATCAACGAGTACTACTGAGTATGAGGAAATAACGGAAGACAAATCGCTAGAAAAGAGAGATATTTCTAAAAAAAAAAAATAACCATCATTACATGTAGATATTAAATTGTGTTACCACACTTAATGTTGAAATGTTTGGGGCAATATATCTTTTGACTCTAATGTGTATAATAATACTAAAAAAAAATTTTGCAGATATAATTATGAAATTGATGAAATTTGGGCATTCAAATGAACACTATAGAGAGATGGTATTGACGAAAAAACTATTTACGGACAGAAAGTATATTATCCCGTACTAAAATTGCGATATACCTTGAAATCTACTTCACTTTTTACCGCTTTGTTTTCAACAGATCATGTCAGCGGTCCTTTTACATCAATGAGCACTTCATAGGCTGCCCTTCTGACAAAGGATTGATATTAGTGAATGATCTTAACTATACCCCTTGTCAATGCACATATGACACAACGTCCAACAGACCTGAATTCATGTATGCTCCTGGAGAGGATGTCACACAATGGGAAGATTACAGTAAGTAGTGGAAATATCTTAATATACAACAAATAAACTATCCACGTATCTACACAAGTTTCCTATACTGAACATGTATGCATCAATGAAACAACTACATTAAAAAGCCATCAATCGAGAAAAAATATGCCAAATTCAAAGATTTACGAAGAGATCATTGGAAAAAGTACATTAAAGTTATACTGTGTGTTCCGGAAGGGTAAATGTCATCCGCTTCATCGACGACACACACAATTTCAATATTAGCCAATCAAAGAAAGAACCTTTTTCAAATAAGGTATCAACAATTCCATGACACTCTTACGAACATTGAACACATCTTCATATGCCAAGTAGTCTTTAACAGCCGGAATCTTTTTCACGCATTGAATTTACGATATTGCTTCATCAACGACATCCAACATGTAAACTTAGGTCGCGTTCTAAAATGAGAACAAGGTATACAGCAACGAAATCAACAGGTAAACTAACGAGAATCAAACACGCCTAGCTTCATATCGTACAAAGAAATATAATGTTTCCCAATGAGATCACTATGACGTCCATAAAACATCCCGCGAATTTCATCAACCTATCTCTTTTCAAACCCTGCGTTACGACTTTGTCCGTCAGTCGACAACTTTCACGAAAACTTGATCAAATTAACTTTGACATGTTAACATCTTAGGTTGAAGATGCAAGATAATAGCTAACCAGAAATGGACAATTCACAATAGGATAATTGAAGTCACCTCATACAGCTAGGTGGAAAGCTATCCATGTTTATATCGTTGTAGGAAAAGATCGAGATAAGCAGCTTATATAGAAGAGTTTGTCGTGGCTTTGATTTCCAATTATGGAAAGACTATACGATATACGTGCTCAAGAATATACGATATACGTGCTCAATCAATGTATTGTAAATTAAAGACAAGACATCATCAATTAATCTGAAAGTGAAATTAAACGACTTTGCAAGGTATTTGTAGCCTGTTTTGACAAGGTCTTCAATAAATTCAGCCACGTAAACAAAAACAAGTCAGTCATAGGGGTGCAGTTTGATCCCATAGGTTGTCTGTTGGAAGATCATGCCTTCAAACTCGACGGAGACGTTGTAAACCAGAAACTGGGTCATTTTATGATTTAGAACTCCTTATATATATTCTTTGATTTGGACGTATTTTTCACCAAATACACGTCAGGATAGTTCACAACCATATATATATATATATACCGCCGTTCACCTTTCTTGGAGAAGAATGTTCTTATAAAAAGAGAACAAAGGCGTTACTTCGGTTAAGAATGGGGTATGTTTTGTGTATAGAATGAAAAAATCAAATGTCCTTTTTATAGGAAAGAAAAGATCTGTTTAAAAGAGAGTGTTGAATATTGGTCAAAAGCTGTACGGAGTTCTTAAAAACCCACATATTATTAATTCCGCTTCTTGAGTAAACAGTATCACAGTAAGACTGTAACCCAGACTTGACAGTACTTGATATAACGGCTCGACGAGCCACCAATAAAAGATTGTTCATATTGCTTTTTGTGAAATTTGGGAGTCCAATATGAACGAAAAAGGGTATTCCCTTATCATTAATTGACGGTCGATCTGAATGTTATTGATACAGAAGTTACAGATACAGCTTGCATTTTCGTCTATGTAATGATTATATGTGTAGACATAGCTTCATTTTGCTTGCAGATGAAATAGTGTTTGCAGACAACCTTAAAATCATTTGTTGCCTTATATGCGAAGTTCAGATCTGTATATTGATAGCATTCAGCCATTATACATTATAATAGACACATGGATTAGCTTTCAATGAAAGTGATTTGAGATGTTTTGGAATAAAAATCAGCTATGTGTAATATTGATATTATGAAAAATTCAACGCAAAATATTTTATGAGGACGAGAAAATTTTGAATGTAGGAAGCCTGATCTTAATAACAGATAATTCAGGGTGTGGTGTCAGAGGAAGAATTAAATAGTGTGGTGGACAAACCTGCTCTTGAGCTAGAGTCAGAAAATGTAAAAACCTATAGTATGAGCATTTCCAAAGTGGAATAGTCTAAGATGTAGGATGCTAAAACCATTTTCATACATGTTGTTTTTACACTCGCTAAATTAGTAGTTCATAATATTCCTGTGTATATCTTTAAGGGTGGAGTATATCGTTTATCGCAATATTTTCACCCTAGGTAATTTTTTGCCCTTATTCCATTATACCCAAATTCGCCCCATGTTCATTTCGTCATCTCAAGTTATATAAAACGGTTATATAGGTGTACAAATGTTCGCACTCGTCTAAAAATCCACGAAAAGGGCGAGAATTAAACCTGGCGAAAATTTCCTGACAAACCGTATTTGAACTTGGTGAACAAGGAAATAGTTTCTGGACATTAAATGCTTTCTGAAAAATATGGCAGAGAATGATCACATGATGAACAGGAGTTGTTTGAAAACCATGCTGCCAACTATGTGAAATATGTGAAAATCAAGAAATAATAAAGGCATTTTTATGAATAAACATGTATATATAATATAATTAAGATTGATCAATTCGTCCGTGTTAACGAATTACGAATGATACCTTATTGGTTATCTTTTTCATACATAATTTTACCACAAGTTACCACTGCAAACACCTCTTTCATGGACATGTAATCACGATTAATCATGAAAGGTTATTAGGTGTGCCGTGGACTGTGTTAGCAAGTGATTCATTGCCCACCTTTTGCATTGTGTGAGATGTAAAGGTACATATATTCAACTTTCTTTGTTCATTTTTCCGTTTACGTTATGAAGTATAATGCACCTAAATTTGTTCGATTCTCTCAATAGATTTTTTACCAAACAGATACTACCCTAGAATAGTGTTTAAATGTGTTCGATTTTTCCCTACAGATTATGGCCGAGCGGATGTGTTAGCAGTGTTCATCAAACGATGATAGACTCTACAGAAACATTTGTCTCGGAAAAACAGCATGTGGTATTTGGAGGCATAAATTTGTGGACGGTATGTTTCTAGTGACTAACTGTCAAACCAAACGACCTGTTGGAAAATCGCGCAACCTACTGACAAATTTAATGACTTACTGGCAATTCAAGCGATCTGTTGGAAAACAACGCCAACTACTGGCAGATCTATTGACTATTGCTTTACTGCCAACTGAAGCAACCTGCTGTAAAACCAGGACCCACTACTTACAGATTAGGTGACTTACTAAAAAATCAAGCGAACTATTGCCAAATCAAAGCGGATATCATGAATGAATATGATTGAGTAAATCCAGTAATAGGAACATTGAATGGTTGACAAGATCATTGTTACATCAAAATATGGCAAGATTTTATAGTCCCATTATTACATAGATCATATGGTGTTGTTACCATGACATTGCAGTAGCAATGTAATATTTATATAACTGAAAAGGTCTTAGACAGGTTTCGACAAAATTTATTGTTAACTTAAAACTGGTGAATTCTTGCACGAGAGGTTAGCATGATATATTGATAGCCTTGTCTATAAGTAGTAAGGTTAGGTTCGCCAATACGTAACTTCGACTGAATAGGGACATTTTTTATACCTTATCATATAACAATGCTTTAGAAAAGTGATATTCCTTCGGACTCTGAGATTTCACCTTTCGACAAATCCTAGTATTAACATTAGAAAACAATAGCTTTGCAATGCTGTGTGTTAACGCCATGTGCTTAGTAAACATATATGGTATTATTGACAACATTGTTTAATACAGGTACACATGATCGGAAGTAATTGTGATGTATTAAATGACGTTAACAACGCAGGTGATCGCTTATATTTAAGCAATTAAATATTTATCACGTTAGCCATTACCCAACGATAGAGACTTTGAGTGATCTCTCTTCCTTAAATATTCTAAAGAGCCCAAAAGGGTTGCATTTTAGCAATGAATCAAAACTTTAGCACTCGCATTCGTCTAACCATTGTATAGACTTCGAAGCCTGGAAAAGCAGGGAAAACGACATAACCTAGTGACCAACTCCGGGTAGGATGAAATCGGTTTAGTATTCTTTCGGAATTCGGTCACGCTTAAGGGCAGCGGACATGACATCCTGAAAGGGCAAACTTTTGAGAAGGGCCCTAAGACGCAGGGAGAGCCCTAACCGCATGAGCCCGCACTTTCCATCTCGCTCGAACCTGATCCGCAGAATGATCATATTTAAACATATTGACCTGACAAAGCCACTTAGACACAGACTGGAAAGGGATGTTCGGGTTAACTTGCTGAATAGGCATATACAGACTATGTCTAGTGTCCTCCTTCATCCTGCTTTTATCGTGGAAAACCTATGTGTCCGACAATTCCTTTTCGGACTAAACAAATTTAATTCCTTGAATCATTCTGGCTGTATATGAAATATAACATTTGATTTGATGAAACTCTTACTTTTGATGAACTAGAAACAATGTTGATGTTATGGAAATCAAACTTTTGAAGAATTATAAGTGAAATCAAAGCGTTTTAAAATAGATTGTTATGGTATTATATATATATATTTTGATGCACTGGAGGAAATGCTGATACACATGTAGATGTTATGGACATCTTACTTTTGATGAACTGGAAACAATGTTGATGTTATGGAAATCAAACCTTTGATGAACTGGAAACAATGTTGATGTTATGGAAATCTGATATAGGATTTCATATTACGTACTAATATAAAAAATATTCTGTTGTTTACTGTGTATAATATATATTACAAACTAGCCATATTGCTATGTAGCAGGTGTATGTTTATGTTGGTACCGTGTAGTGAGAGGTGAAAAGGTTGTTGAACAACATAGTGCCGATAATGCAGCTTTCATTGTTAAATGTAGCAGGTGCAGTAAATTAACCAAAGCAGATTCTTCTGACAAATGTTGATGTGACAATGTATTTTGTTTACATGGATAGCTTGAACCATGATATCAGTCAACAAGTATGGCCGAATCGTAGGCTTTATATTTTGATTAGACCATATTGGCTCCAAATTGTCTGGAATTAAATTCAAAATTGGAAATGATTTGACAGCCTTGGTTAATTCGGGTTATCCATCCAATTTGGCAGTCACGTAGGCCTTAGGGATAAATAGAGGCTAGTGAGACAGCCCTTCACTTCGGTCACTGGACCCGGCAGAGAACACACTAGACCGTTGTCTACTATTATACGATCACATAAGTATATTTAGGTTAGAAAGTTCAGGTTAATTGTGACAGAGAAAACTTTTGTTGTGAATACCTTAGACGATTAAAATTCGCCAGTAAGAAACCGAGGACTTTTTTCTTTAGTTCTCCCCACCACACAGCAACACGTGGCTCCTTGGAACAGAGGGTCACACCATCCGATAATATGGCATTGCCGAGCATTGTGAGAACACGTTCATGATTTATGAATTAACCCTTGGCGCACAACTCTAAGGACTTATTTCAGGGTCATATTTTTGAAATCTCAACTCAATAACCTTATACAAACTCTTACTAGACATTGTTATACACTGTTTTATATCATTGATATTGAATACCAGGGATACCTTTAGCTGCCTTTTTTACACATACCGAATCATTGTGAATGGCAGTACACAGTCTCGTATACTTAATTGTATGATTGTATGATAAGCGTAATTATATTTTGTTTTTTTATATTTACAAATTTTATGTTCATTAGTTTTCCGGTTGTTCATTATCAATCATCAACATGGGCTAATTATAGCAGCAACAGGCGATGTGATGTAAATTTTTCAGTATCAATCATCAATATGGGCTAATGATATCACTTTACTTTGTTTGTCCAGCGTACTGAGTTTTTGTATCATCACCTGGAAGTGATGATGTAAGAATTCATATATTATTTAAAATGTCAAAAAAAAGTTGAATGGTTTCCCGTTTAGTATTTCACTTTTATGACAGAATATCTGTGTACTTTTCACTCGGGTTTCAAGATATTGCATTATCTATATTATATCATACTCTATTATTATATAGAAAAAGAAACAACACTTTTAAAATAGTGTAGCAGTGCTCATTTGTGTTGATGCAGAAACGAAGTACGTTTTTCATTTGGGTTACCTCCCTTATATCAACGTGCCACCCACAAACGTTGCTATGATGCGACTGTTATCCCTTTCTTATTTGATTACGTCGAAATACAACTAATTTCAGTGATACAAGAACATATTGTTTGTGTATATTTAATACAAAATTAATAACAATTTTAGTTGCGTTTTTTTTTTTTTTTCGTTTCAAATTAAGAATGTCTTAGATAAGGTTCGAATAGAGAATACCTTGCAACATATAAATAGATATGGATTCCAATGCAACCATACAGGCAAGGCGGGGTTATACCATATATTGTTGAACCATATTCCGGCGAGATTTGGCGTTTGAAACTTACCTGCGGTTGAAGGATATATCCCGTGCTAAATTTTGATATTTTGAGTAGGCCTATCGTGAATCACGAAACAGGCGGAACATACTCGTTAGCATATTAAGCTCTTTGACTGAGCTGGATAATGAGGACAGCTCATTTGAAGTGGGACATAACACAAAATTCGTTGTTTTAAAGAAGAATAAGACTTTGGTAAAGACGAAAATCCTTTGTCAAGTAAGTGAAGACATCACAGGAGTTTAATGTTCTTTTAGTACGATATGTAAATGATAATTACTATTTCTTTCACTTTTACTGTAGGTCTTCAATTCCATTTAATGGAAATGAATCTGTTTCTAAAAAGTGTTGTTGACATATTACATTTGATGACCATAAGTAGTTGTAATCTGAGTATTTTATATGTTTCTTATCACTGTACCTTTTTATATAATTGAATGTTGTTGATACAGACATAATACATGTCTTGTGTCTTTGGTAAATGTTTGGTAAATATTAACATGTCACTTGTGAGTATTGATAATTTAATGTTACATAGTCTCCTGTAGGTCAGACAAGGCTGGACATTTACGTATATATAAAGAACACTTTGTCAGAGTATTAAATATAAGCTGTACTTTGGTGAGGGTTAAGAAAGGCAACATTGGCGTATATAATTATATGTCACCTAGCTGTATGCAACCAGCAAGCTTTTGAACAATGTCCATCCCATATCTCACAACACTGATTTGAACAATAAACTAGCACCATTGATATTTTGTTGATATATAACGTAGAATTCTGAATACAGTAAAAAAGACAGTTATATCTTGTACATGTAATTTGAAGTTATAAATAGTTCGAAAACTACATTGGAACTCATATGTACTCATTATCTTTAAAAGTGACTTTAAAGTCATTAATATGTTTACTTTTTCATACATCTGTACAATTTCAACAAAATGTCTCTAATACCCTTATATTCTGTTTTTGAAGTCATACATATGTTCTTTCGCAATTTGATAATGGCTTGACAATCTTTCAATCAGTCGAGTGTCTCAATGCAGTTTTCTCACTTATAACCACCTGACAAAATGTAAATGTATACCCTTTTACACAAGGTCATTGACATGCAATCGTTAGATGATTGTTAAGGCCCGCGGACCTTTTTTTAAATATCTTATTTTTCATTCCAGGACTGTAAGGCCCTAATTAAGGCTGTTCTGATTATGATGGCTATTGATTATGTTTTACGTACAATATTAACCTTTCTATATTAGTCAAATGTGGCATGGTTTGTTTCTTTTGTTTTACGCTTTTGTAAAATACAATACTTATTTTTTTAATCTTTTTGGATTCATATGATTTGCACTACAGATATTTTTTAGATGTGCTGATTGTCCATAATACATAGTTTAAAGTTATAGAAGTATTCATTTGAATGACTATATATACCTGTGGCAATTATTATTATTACATTTTTGTTTCAGTAGGTTCTTAGTGGTTTATGTATGTTAAAAGTAGTTACAAGAATCTAACTTTAAAATGTTACATTTCGTTACTGAAAAGACACCTGATTCAGTATCAAATGAATTCCAACATAATATCATTGACTTTTTTGTCTTTTATATACTTAAGCATCTATATTTCGCGTATAAACTTTAAAAGGGAGAATTTTATGACGTTTTGAATAAATTTTACTTGTGGACTACTTTTTGACGGTGAATTGACTGAGTGATTCGGTTAAAAGCGCAATTTCAACGTTTTCTGGTTGCTAAGGTGCTTTTCATGAGTATGACGTTGGACGTCTTGGGTAGATTTCAACTATTCAAGAATGTCGACTTGATGATCACTTTCCAAATTTCGAAGGACTCATAAATATATATTTCAGCTAGTTCCATGTTAAAGGAACTGGCTTTTTGAGGAAAACATATAGCTAAGACACAGCCACCCCCTTTTCTAATCATGAAAAGTATCTTAGAAATTTTCTGTATCAAAACTTTAAGTCTCCAAAAACGTTTTGTACTGAAAGATGGCCAAAAGGTTAATGTCATTTTGGATTTTTTTTATGTTTTGGTTGCTCTGGAGTTTAAAACTTTAAATCAAGTGAACATTTTCACATTTTTTCTTAATATCCAATCATGCCCTTACTGTAATGAGAAACGAAAAAAACGTTTCATAAAGGTTGCCACAAAAATAGCAGAGAATATTTGTTCTTCAGAAAAAAATAATAATAAATGAAAATAAACCATTTCCTGTTACACAAATTCTGACGCTTGTGCCGGAAAAGTAATACAGGAACATACTGATTTCTTAATGCACTTTCTAAAATCATGCTTTTCAAAACAAAATTAGGCAAAAAAGTTTAATACTGGATGTTTTTTACTTCTCAGATGAGTTCACTTTTCAGGCTACTTTTTTCTACAAACTATACTCTGTGTTATTTGTCCACAGTAACCACTATCAGTATTAACTTTTAAGTTTCAGATGTTTCCTATATATACAGTTATATTTATATCTATTGAATGAAAGAAGATCAATGTATATCTAATGATACTGTGAACAAACCAATCAGTCAGGTTTATATGGCAGGTCACCTATTTTTTAATATTGACGCAAATAGGCAACGGCATGACACGAAAAAGAAAACCTTGAAAGGTCCTATACAAGAATAATTGAATGATAATGTGAAGTAGAGACATAACTCTGTGTGAGTAAACGATGCAGTAAAAATCTGTACTCCAACATATTATCAATCTGCATAGGCATATTTGACCAATAGAAATTTCATGAGAAAACTATATGGGATACGATGACTTCAAAAATAGATGTTCTCCATTTTTCACACACACGAAGTGATATGGACATGCATCTTTTAATATCCTTGAACCATACAAAATACTTAATTAAAATAATTACTATACAAACATGTACCGTTTGTACAAAGCTTCCAGATTAGATGTATTTAGAAGTGACCCTTGGTTATTACACCTCATGTTTGGTACCTCATTAACAATCTTGTAATTAATTACAAAAAATCTTAAAATCTTAATTACTTTACAAGATGTATGCTGATATGAACTTAAATGCATTGGCTATTCAAATATCTCGGTACCGGAAGAGCAATTCAACAAAGTACTTTTCATATAATTTCAGATAAGGAAGTTATACTCTACATCTTACTAGAACGACATTTCGCAGCAGTTTCTCCACTTCCTTCGAAATTATTTCTCCGTGGAATACTGCTTTTCGGATCGAATCATCAATACATATGGAAAAGGAGATGATTGTGTCAGGTCTCAGATTTTATTTCCGTACTCTATGCTCTTAATATGAATTTTGGCACAGTGATTTGAAGCGAGCGACAATTTATCTGGCGACAATAATAATTCAATCTAAAGTTTCATAAACTTGAATATTGTATTTAATATGTTCCTAATTAGTACATGTTGTTTTGATCCGGGTGAACGGCACTATATGTTGCTATGGTCATCTTTACGAGTTTTCGCCATTTGAGCAAAGCATTAATGGAACTTATCGTTTTAATGTGATACGAGAAAAACTGATTTTATCTGGGATAAAGAGAACACAGAGTGTTCTTGGCACCCACCTTTGTTGGATCTTGAGAAGTTAGCTCTTTTCCATTCTTATTATTTTCCATTTGTTCAAATGAAATACCTTGATCCACTTTCAAGGCCAAAAGAGGTAAATGAGTGAAAATGTTTTAATGAATCTCCTCAATGACCAAATGGCTCCGGATGTAGTATGATGGGCTAAAGAGCAGTCAAGTTTGTTAAATTGACCCTAATTCCAGGTGATCGGAGTCCAATGTGTTCAATGTCCTGTAACCGTTGATGAATGTTTTTCAAGATGGCGGACGTAGACGGTCACAAAATGTAGAGCCCACTTAAAGCTAAAACATCACTGGTTTATGCATACAATTTGACCAGGACAAAAACCAGGCGAAACGAAGAGATACTCGAAATTTGTATTACACCCTTTGTATGGTGTTGTTATGGTCATAAATAATTGTGAGCGCTTCGTGAAGTCGAGCGAAGTGCTGGATTCGGCGGTGCGTGACTTGCTGTGAACTTTTGCTTATATCGAAGTATTTAATCAGCCTAAGGTTTATTTGCACTTTCAGTGAGACAATCCAATAACATCCATTTTTCAGCGATATATTATTTATGTTCATCGCCCATTAATATTCACGGTCCACGGGTTCCATCGCTGATAACAATGACACAACTTCAGAACGCTGACGTCTTGTACAATACTGCATTGTGTAAAGAGCACTGAAGTCCTCTAAACTCCAACGTCTACGTGCGTACATGAGCTCAATAATGGTAGGCAGTCTGGTGACAACTCAACCATGAAGTCAATATAGAATTACATATACATATGCTGACTGCCTTATCCACATTTAGGCCATCCGTACAATGGTCAAAATCCCACTGTCCCTGGTATAGTTTGAGAATGAGAATTCCATTACATCGACATCAGATATATCTAGAATTCTCTGTCATTAAAAGTCGCCAGATTCTTTCGGTCATAGCAATAAGAATGTTAAATCCATAATTCTACTTGAAAAAGAACACTCCATTTGTCATGCAGGGTTGATTGTCTGATTTTCATGATAATGATACATTACTGAAATTGGTATAAATATTTCTGTTAATTGTTTCCCGGATTATTCGTCGAAAATGTTTATGGCTACCTGGCTTGTTACCTTTATTATGACAAGATAAAAGGTCTAAATGAAGCAGGTAAAATGATAGATTGAACTAATTGTCGCTGTCCTAGTATTAAATATTAAACCATCAGCCATGTCCTATATGCCCTCTTTCATTCTTTGTATGTATATATGTATTGAGGAAATGTCGGATATAGACCAATCATCAATTGGACAATTGTTAATAATGCATTTCCTGTTAATTAATAAAAAATACTCCGCTGGCTGTTAGTGTTTATTGAATAATTACCTATGTGTGATCGATCTTATTGCACTTAACGTATCTGGTGGCAATTGTCAGAATTAGTATGTTCCTCGTCAAAAGAACATGACGACATGGGCGGTGTACTAACACTCTATGTTGCATTTCTTTGTTTTATTAGAATATATTGTGAGTCTGATGGAACATTTAAAAGAATCAGTGGACATAAGTTATCAGGCGCGAACCTTATTTTAAAGTATCAATTCAGTAACCCAATTATAGCATGTGCAGTAGAGTGTTTCCAGACCGAATGTTTATCTATCAACTACCACAGTGAGACTAAGGAGTGTCAGCTTTGTAAAGATTCCCCCTACACCAACCCGGTGTTAGTACAGGAGGCACAATACTGGGAAATCTACTACCTACAGAAAGGTGAAGTATAATGAGGAGAGAATCAGTAAAGCTATCACATTGATGGAAGATAGACATCCAAAGCATGGTTACTATAGCCTATTCACTTTCTCAGTTTTTGTTAAAACCTAAAATTTGTTTAAGGATAGAATGAAGAAAATCGAAATTTTAATATCCATATAGATTACTCTACATTACAAGAAAATGAATGACGTCATTTTGACTCAGTGTTTATCGACATTACGTCAACGATTAGAACGTCATATTTGATGACGCACAGTTTGAAGAAGCTATTTGAGACGATAAACCTTTATACAATAATATAAGATGCAACAGGCGATGCCTGGAGAGAGAGAGAGAGAGAGAGAGAGAGAGAGAGAGAGAGAGAGAGAGAGAGAGAGAGAGAGAGAGAGAGAGAGAGAGAGAGAGAGAGAGAGAGAGAATCAGACAGACAGACAGACAGACAGAGTGCATTATACTAAGTTGACAGTATGATGATTTTTAAGCTCACTATTGATGCAAAATTCTCAGAAATCATACAAAAGACAAAATATATACGTGTATAGTAAAGGCATCGATACCAAAAGGATTCGTGATGCTATGCGGTTTACTGTAATATTTTTACTTCATTGATACGCGGTTTATTAAAAGAGTACATCCAAGTTTTTAGTGTTATAGATCAATAACGTAAATCAATCACAGTTGATCCTGATAATCTAATTTTAACTAATAACAAAAAGATAATATAGTAAATAGTAAGAAGAAATGAAGGTCTACTCTACAATGTAAGCATATGTTAAAATGTGGGAGAGGAGGCTTCAGTCCAATCTGGCGTCATGAGAATGGAAATATTTATCTAAAGTGTTCAAAGATACATAATTCCAAATGAGTCGAAATCGAACACAATTTCTTACTTTTACATATAAATATACATTTGGCAACATCAGTTCACGAAATAAAGATATGTTACTTAATTCAAAGAAAATGACTGGGAGCTGGTCTTCAGAGCTCAGGCCTACAACAACATCAGTCCTTATAATGCCTGGATGGGGACGTTGTCTCTACCAACATTAGTGGAAGAGGGCTGCCTGCTATTGATGAATACATCCACGTGCACAACCATATATAGAAACGATATTCTGAACACATGGGATTCGGAGAGTATTTCTGAGGCAAGTATGACGTAATATCATATAATTGTTTTATTATCATATATCAACACTACACTTCAGTGTTATATTTGAATTTGTATTTAAATTCTTCAGCCTTTATGCTATTTTATTTGTTCGAATATTGAAACAAAATATTTGTGATATGTTTGAATTTCCGAATTTCTATTGCATAATAAGATTAAGTTTCCCGCAGAATGTTTGATATGAATCGCAGCATAAATGTCTTGGCACTTAATACCTTCTGTTACAGCTTTAGGATTTTCATTTCGACCATAACATCAGTGACGAATCCCAGTATATTAATTATGCCATTCACCAGCGTGCCCTCAAAGTTTTATTCCTCAGTCGACAGATATTCGAATCTCTTCATTCTCAATTTTGTATTGTCCCATGTTTGTGCTTCACTAGTGTGTTTGAATTCTTGCACTTCACATGAGTGTTTTATTCGGGTTATCACATTTACCTTATATGTATTTCCTTTTGTTTTGACACAAATTACATCAAGCAACAAAATCAAGTTGCCATTTTAAACTCCTAGATTTCATTGACAGGTTAAGCTAGAACTCTACAAAGCCGGTGTCAGAGTGGTAAACATCCGATTTAATGGTACAAGGTCAACGTATACCGACTGGTTTGGGATCAACAGATTGATAGACAGTGGCTGGGAGACCTTGTCTCAAAGTCGACACTTCCCTAACTTCTCAGTGCGTGGGTATGTGTACGTGCCCAACTGGGAATAACTTATATCAATATTTATAGTCAGCTGATTGAAATCTTTAATCCCCTTTCAAGACGTAAAATACATAATTAAACGACATTGTGACTCGTACGTCAAATAATCGTATATACCAGGTGATAAGTAGTACATACGAGGTAAACTTTTGGATGTAGCGGTTAAACAGTCAAACCATCTCTCCTCTTATAGAGCCCCATCAAGCGTTTCGGTGACCAGGAATCAGCGAGTACTACTGAGTATGAGGAAATAACGGAAGATAAATCGCTAGAAAAGAGAGATCTTTCTAAACAAATAAACATCATTACATGTAGATATTAAATTGTGTTACCACACTTAATGTTGAAATGTTTGGGGCAATATATCTTTTGACTCTAATGTGTATAATAATACTAAAACCTTGATGAAATTAGGGCATCCAAATCAAGATTATAGGGAGATGGTATTGGCGAAAAATCTATTCACTTTTAAAGTTTTGTTTTCAACAGACCATGTCAGCGGTCCTTTTACATCAATCAGTACTTCAGAGGCTGCCGTTATGACAAAGGATTGATATTAGTGAATGATCTTAACTATAACCCTTGTCCATGCACATATGACACAACGTCCAACAGACCTGAATTCATGTATGCTCCTGGAGAGGATGTCACACAATGGGAAGATTACAGTAAGTAGTGGAAATATCTTAATATACAACAAATAAACTATCCACGTATCTACACAAGTTTCCTATACTGGACATGTATGCATCAATGAAATAACTAGAATACCGAAAAGTTTATAGTTAATAAGTTAAAAAGCTATCAATCGAGAGAAAATATGCCCAAATTCAAAGATTTACAAAGAGATCATTGGAAAAAGTACATTTAAGTTATACTGTATGTTCCGGAAGGGTAAATGTCATCTTCATTGAACACATCTTCATATGCCAAGTAGTCTTTAACAGCCGGAATCTTTATCTCACATTGAATTTACGATATTGCTTCATCAACGACACCCACCATGTAAACTTAGGTCGCGTTCTAAAATGAGAACAAGGTATACAGCAACGAAATCAACGGGTAAACTAACGAGAATCAAACACGCCTAGCTTCATATCGTACAAAGAAATATAATGTTTCCCAATGAGATCACTATGACGTCCATAAAACATCCCGCGATTTTCATCAACCTATCTCTTTTCAAACCCTGCGTTACGACTTTGTCCGTCAGTCGACATCTTTCACGAAAACTTGATAATGGGAACCTTGAATATCAAATTAACTTTGACATATTAATACCTTAGTTTGGAGATGCAAGATAATAGCTATCCAGAAATGGAAAATTCACAATAGGATAATTGAAGTCACCTCATACAGCTAGGTGGAAAGTTATCCATGTTTATGTCGTTGTAGGAAAAGATCGAGATAAACAGCTTATATAGAAAAGTTTGTCGTGGCTTTGAGTTCCAATTATGGAAAGAATATACGATATACGTGCTCAATCAATGTATTGTAAATTAAAGACAAGACATCATCAATTAATCTGAAAGTGAAATTAAACGACTTTGCAAGGTCTTTTTGGCCTGTTTTGACAAGCACTTCAATAAATTCAGCCACGTAAACAAAAACAACTCAGTCATAGGGGTGCAGTTTGATCCCATAGGTATGCCATTAGTCTGTTGGAAGATCATGCCACCAAACTCAACGGAGACTTTGTAAACCAGAAACTGGTGTAACAAAATGAGTTAAAAAAAGGTTTAATGATAACTTTGGAATGGTGTGTATCGTAGAGAGCAGCATCTTAGTTTAAAGTACATCAGGTCAACAGTCAGTCAATGCTGGACCGAGGTAAAAAAAAAACCCGTGAGTGATAGATAGTGATGCACGCCTGGTAACGGGCGGGGTGTGTACCCAAGTGGTGAAGCACCGTGGCAGAATATCGCCAGCATAATTGATCAGGACAGATAGATGGTCTCTTTTGTATGCCTCGCGCAAGTAAACACGTGCCTTCATAATTAGATGCTCCGGGGGCTGGGTTATTGTTGGGACTAGGCTTAAATTAAGTATTTGGGTATTATTTATACAAAGACAATAGCCAGAGAAAGTCGAGTCGAGTCTGGGATCGAGTAGCTAGAGAGAGTTGGAAGTCGGACGTGGAGACGGGCAGAGTCCCGTATGGGACCTGCTCCGCGATGGAGCGGGCCCTGGCCAAGTTGGCGAATGGACATTTGTATGGAACTCTTTGATATGGACGGGCAGGTGTTTAGTTTTGTCTGCCTTACACGGGTGGTTATTTTTGGTGCCATGACATGCTGCTGTATGTTGATTAGGAACTATCGTTTGTAATGGATATTAACGCGAAGTACTAACTATGGAAAACCACTATACGATTAAATAAACGTTTCGGTCAACCCAAGTAAACACCGTGTTTAGTCATTGTGTAACACTGGGTCATTTTATGAATTCAAACTCCTTATATTTATTCTTTGATTTGGGCGTATTTTTCACGAAATTCGCTTTAGTAAAGTTCGCAACCATATATACTCAACAAAAAAAAGAAAGGTTAACATGTTTCCTTGGCGAATACCTGTAAATGAGTGAAAACAAAATGACGTTTGTGCAATATTAGAAAATGGTAATGTTTTACATTACAAAATCCAAGGGGGTTACCAAAATCATTCAAGCGTGAAAGTCTGTATTAGCGAAAGAGCTGCACGAGGTTTTCTGCGACTTACCTATATCTTCGCTTGAATTTCATGAACATTCAAACTGACAACTGTTCCTTAGATTCTTATGACTTAGAAATCACCGAATCTTGCTTTCTATCAACTTTATCATTATGCCCCGGCTGTCACAAGTACAGAGAGAAAGGGCTGTAGGCATGATCCAGGCTGTCGAGTTGCACGGCATTTTGGTTGCAGTGTTAAGACAATTTGCCAGTTGGCAAATCGTTTAAACCAAACTGGGTCAACATGCGATCGTCCCCGAAGCGGCCGACCCCGTAAAACGACCGTCAGGGATGACCGTCGTATACGATTGATACACTTGCGCAATCGATTCGTAACCGCAGTAGAGACGACAAGGACATTGTTTGGGCGTCGTGTGTCTCCCCAAACAGTCCGCAACAGGTTGAGGGCCTACCAATTGAAAGCGCGGCGTCCCTACACTGGTCCCAATTTGTTGCGACGTCACCGTAATAATCGGCGTAACTGGACCCGTGTTCACCGTCGTTGGGCCCTACGACAATGGAACAATGTTCTGTTTTCAGATGAGTCCATGTTTTGTCTGCAACACGGTGACGAAATGCGCAGAGTGTGGAGGCGACGAGGGGAGCGTTTTGCGAATTGCTGCGTCGCAGAACGGGACCGCTTTGGCGGCGGAAGTGTAATGGTTTGGGGTGGTATTTGTGGGGCGACTCGTACCAGGCTTGTTATGTTAAATGGCAATTTAACCGGCATTCGATATCGGGACGAAATTTTAAGACCAGTGGTTCTGCCATTCTTAAGACGCCATGACGTTGGCGCCATTTTTCAACAGGATAACGCACCAGCGCACACCAGTCGCGTCAGCAGAACTTTCTTGCAGCAGAATAAGGTACAGGTGTTAGATTAGCCATCTAAATCACCTGATTTGTCACCGATTGAGCATGTCTGGGACGTTCTTGGGCGACGCGTGAGAGAACGTCAAAATTAGCCATCAAACTTGCAGGAGCTGGCCCAAGCCTTGATCGCTGAATGGAACAACATCTCTCCTCGAATTATCCTCCGGTTTACGAGTTCCATGCGACGACGCTGCAATGCTGTTTACTTCGCAAACGGTGGCCATACCCGTTACTAATGGTGTTACCTTTGAAATTGACCCCAACGTCTTTTACAGTCGAATAAAATCAACTGAACGCAAAGTTTGATAATGAACCATGACTGCAGTTTAATCAGAATTGATCAGTTATTTTATTCGCACATGATTGGTAAGGATTTATGAAGGAGTTAACTAATTAATCACCGAATAAAGTAGTGTTACCTTTCTTTTTTGTTTAGTATATCTATACCGCCATTCACTTTTCTTGGAGAAGAAAGTTCTCATAAAAAGAGAACGAATGCGTTGCTTTGGTTTAAATTCGGTATGCTTGGTGTATAGAATGGAAACATCAAATGGTGAACAAGGAAATAGTTTCTGGACATCACATGTTGTTTGAAAACCATGCTGCCAACTGTGTGAAATATGTGAAAATCAAGAAATAAAAAGGCTTTTTTATGAATGAACATGTATATATAATATAATTAAGATTGATCAATTCGTCCGTGTTAACGAATTACGAATGATACCTTATTGGTTATCTTTTTCATACATATTTTTACCAAAGGTTACCACTACACACACCTCTTTCATGGACATGTAATCACGATTAATCATGAAAGGTAATTACGTGTGCCGTGGACTGTGTTAGCAAGCGATTCAATGCCCACATTTTACATTGTGTGAGATGTAAAGGTACATATATACAACTTCCTTTGTTCATTTTTCCGTTTACGTTATGAAGTATAATGCGCCTAAATTTGTTCAATTCTCTTAATAGTTTTTTTTACCAGATACTACCCAAGTATAGAGTTTAAATGTATTCGATTTTTCCCTACAGATTATGGCCAAGCGGATGTGTTAGCAGTGTTCATCAAACGATGATGGATTCTACAGAAACAACTGACTTGGACAAACAGCATGTGGTATTTGGAAGCATACATTTGTGGACGGTATGTTTCTAGTAACTAACTGTCAAACCAAACGACCTGTTGGAAAATCGCGCAACCTACTGGCAAATTTAGTGACTTACTGGAAATTAAAGCGACCTGTGGGAGAACAACGCCTTTCACTGGCAGATCTATTGACTTACTGGCAACTCAAGCGACCTGTTGGAAAGCCACGCCAACTACTGGCAGATTAGGTGACTTACTGGAAAATCAAGCGAATTACCGCCAAACCAAAGCGGATATCATGAATGAATATGATTGAGTAAATCCAGTAATAGGCACATTGAACGGTTGACAAGATCATTGTTACATCACAACATGGCAAGATTTTATAGTCTCATTATTACATAGATCATCTGGTGTTACTACCATGATATGGCGGTAGCAATGTATTTTTATATAACTGAAAAGGTCTTCGACAGGTTTCGACAAAATTTATTGTTAACTTAAAACTAGTGAATACTTGCACGAGAGGTTAGCATGACATATTGATAGCCTTGTCTATAAATAGTAAGGCTAGGTTCGCCAATACGTAACTTCGACTGGATAGGGACATTTTTGATACCTTATCATATAACAATGCTTTAGAAAAATGATATTCTTTCGGACTCTGGGATTTCACCTTTCGACAAATCCTAGTGTTAACATTAGAAAACAATAGTTTTGCAAGCCTGTGTGTTAACGCCATGTGCTTAGTAAACATATATGGTATTATTGACAACATTGTTTAATCCAGGTACACATGATCGGAAGTAATTGTGATGTATTGAATGACGTTAACAAGGCAGGTGATCGCTTATATTTAAGCAATGAAATGTTTATCACGTGAGCCATTACCCAACGATAGAGACTTAGAGTGATCTCTCTTCCTTAAATATGCTAAAGAGCCCAAAAGGGTTGTGAGACTCATGAAAATTGGCTTTACCTGAAAAACCTAAATTTCACTTTAGCAATGAATCATAACTTTAGCACACGGATTCGTGTAACCGCAGTAGAGACTTCGAAGCCTGGAAAAGCAGGGAAAACGACATAACCTTTCGGAATTCGGTCACGCCAAAGGGCAGCGGACATGACATCCTGAAAGGGCAAACTTTTGAGTAGGACTCTCAGACGCAGGAAGGGCCCTAACCGCATGAGCCCGCACTTTCCATCTCGCCCGACCCTGATCCGCATAATGATCATATTTAAACATATTGACCTAACAAAGCCACTTAGACACAGACTGGAAAGGGATGTTCGGGTTAACTTGCTGAATAGGCATATACAGACTATGTCTAGTGTCCTCCTTCATCCTGCTTTTATCGTGGTAAAACCTATGTGCCCGACAATTCCTTTTAGGACTTAAAGACTTAATTCCTTTAATCATTATGGATGTATTATATGAAATATAACATTAAAAGGAGTTGGTGACTGATGATTATCTGTTACGACTAAATTTGGTACTATTGTGAAGAAATTTGCCTTAAAACGACAAATATGGTGAAAGACTATTATACGTGAAATCAAAGTGTTTTAAAGTATTTAATGTTCCATAGAACCATATATATGTTACAACTGTGTGAGGAAACTACGTGAAATCAAAGTGTTGATTTTATGTAAATCTGACCTTTGATGAACTGGAAACAATGCAGATGTTATGGGCATCTGACTTTTGATGAACTGGAAGCAATGTTGTAAAGTAATGTTGATGTTATAGAAATCTGATATAGGATTTTATATTACTTACTAATATAAAAATATTCTTTGGCATTAATTGTTGTGTATGGCATTTTATTTAACACATAAACCCATGTGGTACGGTTTGTAGTAACTGTCGCACAGAAAGTTGTATCCTTTTACCTTTTCTTTATATTCTTAAATTTTATTCTCCGGCTTTCCACCATGGCTTCGGATGGGGGATGATTTTGCGTCACTTTTGCTTTACCTTATTTATGCATAAGGTTTGCAGAAATCATTGTGGCAGATTATGAGCCCCATCTAAGACTTGTTCGGTAAATTTTAAATGATAAACTTTGAACTAAATAACAAATGTCGTTTACTATAATAAACGGCCAGATTCAATTCACATCTTGTGTTCTAGTTGTTATTTCTATGACGGTTTTACTAGCTTGCCATGGTGGAGGTCCGGTATAAATGCAAATTAAAACAAGTTTAAATGTCATTTATACAGGCTGATTGTGTTTATATGTAAGGATTCTATTATTAGCGGAAGGAGGTAATTTGGGGTTGGAGCAAGGTGGTCCAACTGTCGCCCGCGCGCACTAATTCGGTGGCTATTTTTAGACCGCTATAAATATAAATGACGCAGCATTTTCTATTCAGATGCTGACAGCAGAATATGGCGGAACAAGGTTCGTACGGTCAAGGCCAGTTTATTTGATTTATATTAGTCTATTTATATCATTGGAAAACTAAAACATTTTCATACAATTTTAGCCCACCACCATCCCCTACTTTCCTCCGTTCCTTTTTTTAGTTTTTATCCCTTGTTTATTGTTCTTTCAAGGCCTGTTATATTTGTTCCAAACTTGGTTGATGAGATCTTTTCATTAGTTTCAATCTTACATCAAATATGTATAGGAAGTATCCTTCATAAAATTGTTCCAAGCGTTTTATGCTTATGTACATGACTCGTCATATCCACTCTGTTAAGTTTGTGTAATTTCATAAAGTCATTACCTAAGTTGTTGATTAGGTTACTCAGAGATGTATATATATATATACGTCTCTGGGTTACGGAACTTGTACCATCCAATAATTCACAATTGATGGTAATTTTCTTACCCTGGAGTATAGCATCCAGGTATGTCATGTACTTGTTATATGCTGTAAAATTTTCCTTCTTTAAATTTCATATCTAATAAATTTGTACGATGTTTGTTTTTCTTAACTTGAGCTGTACTGTCTTATGTTTATGTATAATGTCAAATTTTCCTTCTATGATTGGGTATATTTACGTATGATGTGGTGGCAGATTATGAGCCCCATCTAAGACTTGTTCGGTAAATTTTAAATGATAAACTTTGAACTAAATAACAAATGTCGTTTACTATAATAAACGGCCAGATTCAATTCACATCTTGTGTTCTAGTTGTTTCTATGACGGTCTTACTAGCTTGCCATGGTGGAGGTTCGGTATAAAGGATTTTATATTACTTACTAATATAAAGATATACTGTAGTTTACTGTGTATAATATATATTACAGATTAGCCATATTGCTCTGTAGCAGGTGTATGTTTATGTTGTTACCGTGTAGTGAGAGGTGAAAAGGTTGTTGAACAACATAGTGCCGATAATGCAGCTTTCATTGTTAAATGTAGCAGGTGCAGTAAATTAACTAAAGCAGATTCTTCTGACAAATGTTAATGTGACAATGTATTTTGTTCACATGGATAGCTCGAACCAAGATATCAGTCAAAAGTATAGCCGAATTGTAGCCTTTACATTTTGAGTAGACCCTATTGGACTCTACTATTATACGATCACATTAGTATATTTAGGTTAGAAAGTTCAGATTAATTGTGACAGGGAAAACTTTTGTTGTGCATACCTTAGACGATTAAATTTCGCCAGCAAGAAACCGAGGACTATTTTCTTTTGTTCTCCCAACCACACAGCAACACGCAGCTCCTTGGAACAGAGGGTCACATCATCCGATAATATGGCATTGCCAAGCATTTTGAGAACACATTCATGATTTATGAATTTACCCTTGTGTGGCACAACTCTAAGGACTTATTTCCGGGTCATATTTTTGAAATCTCAATTCGATAACCTTATACAAACTCTTACTAGGCATGGAAAAAGAAAGACGATCTTGACATAAGAATTTACCCATTGGTCTTGCCCTATCAAAGAGTGTAAGTGACTGGACTGTAATTGGAAATATTTGACGTATAGGCATGTATAAGTTGTATACCACTGCTCGTGTTTCTAAAGTCTTTTGTCTTTCTTGTTTAAGATTCTGTCTGAATCACTGTACTACTTATATGTAATCACATGTATCGCTGCTTTGTTATAGTCTGTTTTATATCATAAATATTCAATGCCAGGGATACGTTTAGCTGGCTTTTTTTACACAGACCGAATCATTGTGAATGGCAGCACACAGTCTCGTATACTTAATTGTATGATCGTATGATAAGCGTGATCATGCTCGAAATATATTATTTCTCTTCCTCTCTCCGTGCTACGAAGACTTCGGTGGATTCAGCTTATACTGCTTCTAGTGACCTATGGAAAGTAGGTTGGAGACTTCACAACATAATTTATAAATGTTTTTAAAACCTGTACGTACAGATACCCCAAGTACTCCAACAACTCGACAATTTATGACAGCTGTGTTTGCAAAAGCAATATTGTACATCAGAAGGCTGTTCAAGCTATCATCCCACCATACTTTCAATGTACCACTCCGTCAGTTAGCTCTTGCTTTCAATCTACTGATGGTCTAACTGGACACTGGCGATTTATGCTTTGCTGAAATGTTAAACTAAGAGAGTTTTTCATATTGGGTCCTAAATACTGTGAAAACCCGTCCACTAATTGGAATATGATTTTTGTTTTAATGAATTCCGTTGCAAACTGCCAGAGAATTGATGGAACGAGAACATACTGCAATGGATTCCCTTTCAGAATGGGTTAGTCCCTTTGGCTCGTCATTCTTAAAATAATTAGTTGCTTAAAATATCAAATAAAAACAAAACAGGCTTTTTTGGAATTTGTTCACAAATAGTAGTATATAATTTTGATTTAGAAACTGTACATAGCTAATTCCATTACTCTCATTAAACATTCCATGGCAATTAAACTTGTTTTTGTGATAAGATATATAATGATTCAATATACGTGTATATAAAGTAAAGACTGTAAAGCAGTATATGATTTCAGTATTGAACTTAGCCAACAAAACAATAAAAAAAACATGAGAGTA